CAGCTGTAAAGTCCACAGGCGCCGGGTGCAAGCCCTTCACCACTGTGAATCCAGCCTGAGAAATGACAGATGCCCAAGAAACACTCCCTGTGAGAAAACAACATTTCAACCCACCTACATGTTTTCAGATCTCTACAAAACTCAGCTTTTAAAACAATAAATTACGTAAGATCAATACTAACGAGCCTGTAATATCAGCTTACCATGTGGCAAAGGTCAGCAGGTCTGAATAGCACCGCAGGCTTCCAGGCCTTATAAGCATCCAGCTCAGGTGTCTGGTTCCAAGGTTAAAGGAGTAAGAAATGATCCCAAAGCCCCATGTTACCAAGTGTATTTAAGGGTGAGTTATTTCCTTTGTGCGTTTTTTTAAATGTTTTAAATTTTCATTTACCTTGAAGTATTTTCTCTCTACCTTCATCCAGGTTCCACATTATGATATAATCCTGTGAGGCTGAACAGATTAGAAGTGGATTCACTTTATTTCCAAAAGCCACAGCAGTAATTGACTGATCGTGTCCTTGTAGGGTTAGAAGCTGAGAAAATTAACAAGAACCAAAAATACCATAATTATAGAAAACATATAAAAAATAAAAGAGCATAACACAATACCCTCAAACCTAAGAAATTAATAGGCTGGATTGTTCAAATACCTTTATTTCATGTATTCATTCCGATTTCATTCATTAAATTCCAGCTTACACACTACTCAACTATTCTCTCCAGTTGACCGTTTCACTGTCACTGTCACACCCACGAACGAAGTTCTGCAGGTGAGCGCGTCTCCCATTTCTCCACTACTCATTCTTCCTCAAATGTACACGTGCCCCCGCGACATGCCGGAAGAGGTGACGGCTGAGCCAAAGATGGAGAGCAAGGAACAGAGCAAGGCTGAGAAGAGGGGTGCAGGCCGCTGGGGACGCGGGGATCGGGCGGGCTGCAGCACGGGGAGGCAGGAATGCCGGCCCTGACGGCAAGCTAGGACATGTGACGGAGCAGGGGCACACAGTGCGCTCATCTGCACCTGCCACAATCGTGGAGCAGAGGAGACAGGTGGGAACACACGGCAGAGTTTGAGCTGACGTGGTGGAGGTGGGGGTGCAGGTGGAGGGAAGACGACGCACCTCTGCACCTCCTGGAGAAGGGACGCATCTGTCCCAGTGCCACTTGGCACCCCGCCCTCTGGAGTCCACTCTGGCCACGTCCTACCTTCACCGGCCTTAGCACTGAGTGTCTTTCACTTCTCCGCCCACCACCTGCGTGTTACTGCTGCTTCGTGTTTTACATTCACATGTTATAAGCCTCACAATATGTCACTACTTTTATTAAATTCTCAGTCACCTTTTAGAGAGAAATGATGAATCGAAGACTCCATGACCAGAAAGGACAAATGCCACAGGCATCGGGTTCCAGGTTCTAACCCTGGGTGACCNGGGGCACAGCCGCCTGCTCACGGCCTATGAGACCATCTTCCCACAACCCAAATGAAGGTGGAGAACAAGCCTGTTCTAACCCCACGGCCACACTCACAGGGCCCAGGGTGCAGCTCCAACCCAGCAAGCTGGAGGCCTGATCGCAAGCATTGGTGCTGTGCTCCAGGGCTAGGCGTCCACCCACTGTCCTGGGAACACAGCACTCGGAGCCAAAGTCCATAAGAGGCTCTGGAAGAAACTTAAAAATAAGCTCTGGGAGCATGCATGGCTCCTGCTAACATGGAGGGCTGTCTGCTATCAAAGACCCCCACAGGAGCAGAGAGCGAGCACGTAGCTCACTCCACGTGTGCACAAGCGAGCGTGTGCATGTACGCATGTCAGTGGAGACACACAGACAATGGAGTGGCCATACTACAAACTACACTTGACATTAGTGTTTTAGGGTGATCCTACAAATTCTCGATATGATTACATAAAATTCAAATTCCTTCATGTTGTCCCCACCTAACCTTTCAAGTCCATCCGACAAGCCTCTCCTGACGTCCCCACCACACTCCTCCGCACAGGCACACGCTCAGCTCTTTGGACAGCTCCAGCCCCGCCTCTGCCCACATGGGTCCTCTGCCCACATGAGTCCTCTGTCCCACCCACGCTGTGCCCTCCCCAGCCCACCCTTCCACCCAGTGCCTCTCCTCCTTCAGCTCACACGCCACCTCCTCCAAGGTCACGCCACGTAAAGTGCTTCCCACCCACGTTCTCCGTGCCAACCCCTTCTTGCTTTCTCCACTGCACGCCCACAATTTCTACCATCTGTTTGTCTGTTCACGTGGTTTTCGTTGGCCTCAGCTGTAAAGTCCACAGGCGCCGGGTGCAAGCCCTTCACCACTGTGAATCCAGCCTGAGA